AACTTGCAATGAATCATTAATTTGTCATTAAAAAAATCCAAAATTAAATGTAAATCCCTTCCTAGTGGGAGTGCCATTCTGTTGCAAATGGGCAGACACGACTGGCATTGTCTCACAGAAAACGTGCGTGAAGTGATGCAATACGTTTATATTTTTATACTCGCGTTACGTGCGATGAGTGAGATTCCCGGAGCCCCTAATAAATATGAAGGTGCAGAAGAAACAGAGACTACCAATAAATTTTTTAGAGGGCTTTATGCCATTTGAAGACGGCGAAACCGGCCGTTTTCTTACCGAGACTCAGATATCTTCCTCGGCTGATACTTCCGACCTCTCTTTTCCGGGGTACAAATTGGAGGCTTTCGCTATATCCAAACTAACCACTAGTACCTCCCCTTGGACTCTGTAAGGTATATAAGCTGAGCGACTACGACGAAAGCCGTACTGACCATTGCTTATCAGCAGACCTTCTAGATAACTCAGGAACTGGCCGGTATTAAAGTTTCCATTATTTTGGAGTACAAGGAAGTTATCAGTTGGCGACAGTTAGACGGTTCAGAGCAATTGAAGGGATCGAATGTATTGAATACTAATTTATTTATTAAAGTAGACAAACAAAGTCCATATAGCTATTATTGTCTTAGTTATAATATTGTAACATGAAAGTCATTGTGCGAACTTTTTGTATAATACGACCACAAGCTACAGGCATAAAATAATGTATAATATGCTCTAAAGAGAGTGATATTTAACTCCCGGGAACGCCGTCCAAATGACCATATTAATAAAACTCGAAGTTTGTTTACGTGTTTGCAGGCATGGTTCGTGATGAGGACTGATGCGAAGCGAAGCTAAGAAAGTGTTCTGGCTGGTTATTGAAATTTAAAAAAACAAAAACGTGTCTGTACTTATGTTCACGCGTTAGAAGTTATACTTCTTTGGCGTAACAAGATAAAAATCTTTTCAAAAATTTTATTCTACGTTTGTAGAAAAACCGACACTAACATTAGAAAAAACTAAAATTTTGACTATAGCTAACTTCAGGGTGTCGGTTTTTTGTGACGGCATCGTAAAAATTTACTCTCATCATTTTCCCCTAACGCGCCAAAAGAAGTATAACTTCAAAAATTCAAATAAGTAATAAATTATCCGACATTATTTTTAATATCATGACAAATAGTTTATTGTCGATCGAGATCGAAATTACCTCAACTTCAGAAACTACATTACTTCCTACCAAAAAGGTCAACGACCATATAACTTGAGCAGTAAATTATATATATTAATAATAATTTATATATTAACTGTTATGAGTATAAAAGTTTGGTAAGCACCTTTATGAGCTCATAAGGTATATGAGAATTACTAAATAAGGTTTATGAAGGCACCAGATTAACTTTTGTTAAGGACTCGGGGTGTGGTGCATGTTGAAAAGGTATGTTATATTTTTTATTATTTTTATACGGGGCTCACCTGATGTTAATAGATTCCATGGGCTCTCAATGCCAGACGGCTCACGAGTACGTTGCCGGCCTTTTAAGAATTGGTAAGCTCTTCTTGAAGGATCCTAAGTCGAATTGAATGGTCCGCAGCAAAAACTCCCTTAAAAACGCTAGTTGTAGAACGCCGGACGCCGAGGTGATACGGGTAAAATCCTATGATAAAACTCAGCTGCAGGTATTATTCCGAACAACTCCTCTGAACACTCTTCATGGTAAATGCGGTAGAAGATGCAGAGTGACCCCACATCTCTACGCAACGCCAAGTGATCAAGCCACTCGGAGAGGGATTGGTGGTCGACGATTCGAATCGCTCTTCGTTGTAAACGGTCAAGTGGAAGGTATCATATGTATTTTTAAATGTATATATTAACTATTCCCCTACATCTTCCATACCAAAACAATTATTAAAATGGAAGATCCATTTAAGTAAGAGTGCGTTGCCGGCCTTTGAGGGAGAACCCGGAGTCCATCTCACAGTATGCAAAAGTGTCATGTGAAGCGGACCGTGGAAGACTTCCAGCCATCAAGGTGATGCTGATAAAATTGTTATCAATAGCAATTATTTTTAAAACTGAGATGTAAGAGAATCTTTTCTTAACATCATCTGTATTAACTTCTTTTAATTTAACAGTTACTATAAAAATAAGTATGGAACTCGTAAATCCTTGTGATTTGCACCAAACTATAAATGTACTAACACGTATCTGATTTGCACAAAATGGACAATCAAAACTGTGTACTATGTGCAGAACATTGTTTTATAAAAATGTGTAAAAAATATTTTGTTATTGACCTCGCTACTGATACAACCTTACCACGTATCTATTTCGTAATCATTTGTTTTTTCTAATAGTCAAGTAGGTGATCAGTGCCCGACAGACCCCGTCGACTTTTTTTATGACTAAGGTCGGTTTCCTCACAATTCCTTCACCGTACGAGCGATACCAATATGCAATTAGACAGAAAGTCAGTTAGTGTACAGCCGGCAAAGCCTACGAACTCAGGAATGTGAGTCGCACGCTAAAGCCACCAGGCCAACATTGTTTTTTTTATGAATACCTTTGAATATACCTACACTACTACTATAGTTTGCCTCCGATTCCAAGTTACTAAATCTAAATTTCGTGTATCGTAGTTTAAAACCTAGATTACCATGAACGTCGTTGTAAGATGGATAGGATATTTTATTTATTTATTTTCACATAATTATTATATATTAACAATTACCACTAATGAGATAGAACCACACAATAATACGTACACAGACAATCCTATAATTAAAAAAATTAAATTTTATTTATAATACAGACAGTATTTACAATTTTCTTAAATTTGTTTTGATTTTCATTTTAATTATTTCTATTATTACTTTGAAGGTTAAATAACATTTAAAATCCCATACTTCTCCGAAACGGCTGGACTGATTCTTATAAATTGTTTTATGCATATTCAGTAAGTCTGAGAATCGGCTAATATCTATCTTTCAATCAGTGTTAAAATTGTAAGTGTAAGCTTACCTTTTTTTTTATTTTTTTTATGATACAACATATAAAGTTACATACAACCCTTAATTTTCACCCCTCTACTATCAACCCCTATTTTTTGATAATTTAAAACTTGTGACTTGAACTCAGAGGTTTGTACAGAGAAAAATTCACATAAAAACTTTAAAAGTTTTCATTCCGGAAAACCGAACAGTCTCCGGGGTAGCATAGTAAAATGTTCCATGTTGGTAAATGCTAAAAAGGTTGGCTAAGTTCTTTCTTAGTGTGTGGTCTTCCACATTAAGGAGAAACGAAGTTCGCGGGGACAGCTACTATACCTATAAATTCAAAAACTCTTGTCTTGTTCGTGTTACGTTTTAATTTCATGTAAATTTGTAACCATGATAACAAGAATCTACATTTAATCCGTATTCATAAGGTATACTTTCAAATTAGTAGGAATGGAAACTCATTATAAAATGATTAACATATCACAATATATTTGATGTTATCCTTTAATCGCTCGCTAAACTAAAGCTCATTTTGATAATTAATATTGATTCGAATAATGGCTTTTATTACTATAAAAGCGTCGGGGAAAACTATTATTCAGTAATATTGTAACAATTGTGATTGTTTTTATATTACCTATAAGCTTGGCAAACTTTGGGCAGATAGATAGATAGATTTTTTTATTGATTAATAATTCTATAAGAACGGTTCTCCTCAACTATTAAATATATTGATTGGTTAAAGACTCATAAAAGGAAACAACCAGTGAAACTCTTTTCCGCTTCGGAATGGACGAACTTGTTTCAATCGTTGTGGCAGAATTATCAATTCTTAATGGACAACTTGGAGTCTGGGTTGTCAAATTACGTGAAGGGAAGTCAATTGTCAAATTTGAACATAAGATCTTTTTCTTTTCTTACGTTCGATAAGGCTGGAAAGAAAACGCGTGTATACTAAAGCTGTTTTGTTCTTCATGGATTTATGTCTATATATCAGAGAAGCTTCATGTAATTTAAGATAGAAAACTGATCAAAGAATGAAAGATTGTGTTAAATTCTCTTATTACTTTTAAATTCAATTTATATGGTTTTTGGAGCAGTGTTGGCTTAGTTGCTTCAGCGTGCGACTCTCATCCTTGATGTCGTAGAATCGATCCCCGGCTGTGCACCGATTGACTTTCTTTCTATTTGCGGATTTAACATTTCCTCGAACGGTGAAGGAAAACATCGTGAGGAAACCACAAGCCTTAGACACAAAAAGCCGACGGCGTGTGTCAGCCACAGGAGGCTGATCACTTACTTTCCTTAATTTAATAACAAATGATCATAAAACAAATATATAAATCTGAGGCCCAGACCTATAAAGGCCACTGATTTTTTTTTTTATAATATGTTTCATATTAACGTTTCTTAACGTTATATATTATTAAAAAAATACGTTTAAAACTAATTCCTTTCTGTACTATATATGTTTTAATTTCTAAAGAAAAATAAAACAAATTTTCGATACCCAACATCTTTATTCCAAAATTTTGACAATCGGATATCCGCACATATAATGTACTATACAATTATATATTTTAACATAACTATATGTATGTATGTAGAGTATAAATTAAAAATACTCAATTATACCCAGCCTATGGTAACCAAGTTATTTAGAAGAGAATACAAAAGAGTTACTACTTTTAAGTCTTGTGTCTCTATCCATTTTAAAACACATGAGAAAATATCTACGTCACAACAAAAATATATTTTAACAATATTTCTAAAAGTTGCGTCCATAAAACATCGAATATCTATTCAAATTGACCAAAGATTACGCCATTGACAATTTATTATATTTACAAAGCGATTAATTCCATTTTCAAAGATAACGTTTTTTTTTTAATTTTATGTTGCAATTTAAAAATAATTTATCACAGTACTAAATTTAAATACAGTAAATAAAGTTTCCAAACATAATTAACTTTAACAGATTCGAAAGTTTACTGTAACTATGATTATGCCACGTTTCTCAGGAGTTCGTCCGCAGATAATTCGCCGTCCTGAAAAGTAAAGAAACCATATAAACATTTGTAGGAAGTCCACGAACTACGAGGCAGATCTGCGTCTATTATAAAAATTTCTTCGGACAAGCAGCCTCCTGCATCGGTACTCCGTAACTCAACTGATTCTGTACCACGCGATCGCAAGTGAGAGCAACTACATTGAGATTTCATACAAAGAATCTGCATCAGTAATGCTATTAGCAGTAACAGAGATTTTGATACAGCATGTTTTCTTCTCACGACTTTTTTAAATTGTGATGAGACAATGACTATTTCTGTACGGTAAGCGCAGAAAACTAGCCTCTGGGCAATATAAATAGACAAAGAAATCAATCTTCTCCGTCTTAAGTATTTACGGAACTACAAACAATTCAAAGAATTTTGTTATCGGTATAGGATTATTGATGATATATAAAAAAAGCTAGTAGTACCTTTATTTTTTGGACTTCCTTTCATTACTTACTTGATTAAGGTCAATGAACTTTCGTACAACAGATCGAGTGAAGTCCGGGTTGTTCAGCATCTCATTCACAAACCAGTCCATTGGAATGCTATAAAATACAAATAATAATTTATACGAACGTTAGCCTTTTTTAGTTACATTAAAATACCAGAACGGAAAAAATTTCGAAAGCGAGAATATTTTTTAATCTAACTATAAAAATGGCTATAATCATAGTAATACTGTAGAATCTCTTAAAACAAAAATATTATTTATAACGGTGCGTAATAAATATGTATTAGTAAATACAATTAACTACCATTAATGAAGAGTGGGTATTAAAAACGACAAACATTGGTTGTTATTCAACGGGTTTAACCACCTGAAAGTTCTGATGTTTCTACTAAGCCTGATGTTTAATACCTTCTGTATAAATGCGTTTTGTATCTGTTAAATATAGATATATTCAAATGTATCGGGTTAATTGTCAATGCTTGAGCATTAATGTCAAAGTTGGCGGCAAATTGTATTTGTAAAATGTGTTGACTTTAATCGAAACAAACATAATGCAACTTTTATAAGAAGCTTGAAGAAAAGGAATATCTTTTTACAATATATGTGAAGGCGCTTAATAAAAAGGCATAGGCACTGTAACCTAACATATCTTGGCATCAAATTTCTAAACAAGCATATAGATGATAGCTATCTGTGCATAACACGTAGTGTGTCTATGACATGTCGTCTTCCCCGCACTAGAAAAATCTATTGACGCACAGCCGGGTTTCGAACGCACTACGAGAGGTTAAAGTCTTGCACCTGGCTTAGTGGCTAACACTGTTCGTAGGTTGGTTTTTATCGTAAATGAAATCAGTTATACAATAAAAATACCATTATCTACTTTAATATCAATACCCAGATCCCAACAAATGGACGTCACTTAAGATGTTTATCATTCAATTTACAAAGCCAATTTGACAATACCTTTGTGTCGAACTGTGTTATAGGAAAATAAGTTTCCCTTCACGTACTTTTATATGGAATTTAAGTACATTTCTAACTTTGTTGTGAGGTAAAATTACTATAATATGAATGAGTTTCTGAAATTATTTATTATGTAATAATAAAAATACAATTATGGACTATTTTCTTATCAAATTTGTCTTACTTAACATCAACAGACAACAGCATTTACTGCAAGTATATTATGTTTGATATTTCTAATAGATTCTAGAACATATTTATCGGTATTGACATCGCTCGTAATTGTTTTACAGGACACGCCATTAAAATTTTTTGGTCCCGTTATTTTTATACAACGTTAAAAGAACTTTATTAGCGAAGTTGGGGTATTTTCGGACGTTACTAATGTTCTTTGAAATTTGTGATCTTATTTTAGTACATAAATTTGTTTATATTTAAAAAATTCTCTATATTTTTGAAGTAAAACTTCTTCATGAGGGTAAAAATTTTACGGAGCGTCACGAAAATTTGCGTTTTAGTCGACGAAAAAGGAGAGAGGGATTGAGACTTGAACACCGATGGTGTTTTTAATACATCTCAATACCATTATTACTTTTTTAAGTAACTAAATTACCATTTTTTTGTTGGTTTTGTATTTTTATAAGGGCAAGAACCAAGACTTTTAGTTCTGGTTTTTAATAAGCCTTAGTATCATTCATTAATATAGAAAGACTGGCAAAATTAAATTATGGGATTTGGGCAGCTTAATTAATTTACAAAGAAGTTTCACTTCTGACATGTGTACTTTGTACGTACGCACTTTTTATTTTATTAAAGATTTGTTCATGAAAGATCTTTTAGGATCTTTAACACATGATCAGAAATTAACGACAGTAAATAGTTTTATTTTAATTAATGATTTTGGTAAAATAACCTCCTCTTCATTTGTAAAATCTTGTTGAGATTTAAAACTAATTATTTTATGAGCCCTGTCGACGGAGTGTACTTTTTTTAAGTGTTGTAGTTTAGACTTAGTTGCACATAGTTCATTATTTAGAATTAGTACCTACTAAGTTCACAAATGAATGTATCCCATTTGTAAAGATGCTTCAAAGGTAAGTGATTTCCCTTATACACTTTAATTCAATATTTCGTCGTCAATAAATGCTAAAGAACCAAAATACTTTTTAAAAGTAAAAAGGTAACGGATGGTCGTATCGTTAAAATGTGATAGCTTTGTATATTGAAAAAATGTTTCTGCAATAAAAAAAAATTGTTACCCAACTTTATTGCAATTAAATCATCTCAGATACCATAGTGTAAAATTCTAGAGTAGGATAAAGCGCGGCTTATGATACACGGCTACATCGAAATTCAATGTTTTTAACGTCATATTAAGCGCGAAATTTTACTCTTGCAACATAGTGTTACATAATACATACTAATACACATTTTTGTATTATTCTGCAAATACAAATACGCAATAATTTTACCTTTCCAATGTTTTTTCGTCATCTTGCGCCTCCTTTTCTTGTATGGCCTCGAGGTTTTCCCAAAAGTTGTCCAGCCCATACACTGAAACATATTAACGGAATTAATAACACAATTAAGATTATATCAGAATCCACTCTCAGGGCCAAACTGAGGGGATGTTACAGAATAAAGGAATTGTTGATATATAAGATTCATTTTTTCCTGAGATAAATTGTTGATTAAAACTGAAGATGTTTGAGGTATTTTATGTAGGAATTTTAGACTTAGACAACCGTTATTCTCAGTCGTTTCAAAGAAGGTAAGCGGAATCTAGGCCAAAAGTTAAAAAATATAGATCTATTATGATTACAATTTAATCTACTAGATTAATTAATTTATGACTTTGTTCCTAAATCATATTTTTTTATTTTGATTATTACTAAACGAATTGTTTCATTAACATGGTTTTAGTATAAAAATAAAAATTCCTTTATTTTGTATACAACACAAAACAAATCCAAATAACTCCGTGTCATTTCGAAGTTTCTGGTTAGACAATGTATCCGTTCAATCAAGATTACATCAAGTAGCATTTTCATTTGTTACAAAAAATATTTTAGATCAATTAAGTACGGGTAAAAACGTAACAATTACTAGATGTAAGTGTTACGGTTTGTTTCTGTACAGAAAGCGCATTTTATTTCTAAGTGACTTAATGACCAGTTTTATTTTAGATAGACTATTTAAACTCACTTATAAATATGTTTTGTATACACTACATTATTATATATAAACAAAGACAAACGACACATATAAAAGGTTTTCAACTTTGAGGTGCCATATTTAATCTGTGGAGCAGCGCGACCTGAAAGTCTATTTGAAAATGCGACTTGAGTAATAACGGACTTTTATCACCTTTGACGCTTGTACTTCGTCTTAGGTAAAGCTTTGTAAGATTCAACACCAATAAGCACGATGTGCCTGTAACGCTGAGCTTAAAAGCTAAAACGTTTAAAACGCAATAAAACAATTAAACAATGAAGCTTCAAAATACTTTATCGCCACGTTCACTTAGACAAAGTCCTTTTGGTTAAAATATAGCAAAATAAAAAGGCTTAACATGTATACACTTAACAAATAATTATAGAGGTCGCTTTCGGCTGAGCTTCATACAATGACGGAAGTGTTGTAACAGTTTGCTGTGTGTTCGTGTCCACCCGTCCCTGAGGCTTTACGATCGATGCCTTATATAAAATAATAACAAAAGTCCACTTTATTCTAAGCTCCGATCAAATATGATTTCATATATTGGCTGATCGTAATCGTATTACCTTCACCGATTTCATCCTGTCGTTTACCATAACCCCGTGCGATAAGTACGTTCGAATTTGGCGTGAAACTACCTCGGGTTACTCTAATTTCTTCCTCTGTTAGAATTATATTATACATGAAAATATTTTTATTATTCATAGTTTTATAAGCTAAAGCTAGTTTGCATTATCTCGAAGCATAAGCCCTTAAAGCAGTTACCTTCTTCGTTCATTTCATCGCCTCGTTTTCCGTAATTTCTCGCTACCATAAGTTTAACATGGGGAATAAATGTGGGCCGTACTTCTTCGAAACCTATGTGTAAAAATTGTATGTAAGTGTATGTATAATTTTCATGGATTTGTATTGAGTTTGATTGCAGTTTTTAATAGTAAAGTATATTTGTTTATTATAAGATGTATTTGGATTTTTGGCTAAATTTAATATTAATATTTAACTCTAGCTACACTCTACATACATATTTGTTATAATTGTTAGACAGAACAACAAATGATTTCTCTGTCTATTAAAAAGTGAAAATATTGAGAAAATTATTACGACATTCTTAAGCGTGGCTTCTTGAAGAAAATAATTTTAATTCGAAGGAAACAGACAAGTGAGAGCTTTATGTTAAAGACTATACGTTGAAATGGAGTAATTTAACTGGTTTAGTTTATATAAAGAGGGGTATTTCTCTTGTGTAATGTCAGTATTAAGTTTCTACATATTAATTGGGCAGGCTGATACAACGCGAACATTGTTGATTCTCTCTAAGTATCATTGTATAGCTTGATGTACTGTGTATCAACAGAGTCGTATTGCTCAAAAGCTGAAATGAATTCCAAAGCAGACCAATCCATTTGGTTCTAAACACGATTTAATGAAAGTTTTTGCTACACCCAAAGATTCTTCTAAGCAATGAATGAAATGAAAATTAGATTTCCTTTAAGCAACACAAAAACTGGCCGATTTAACCATTCCCAAATGGAGTTAGCGAGGTCCACTTTTTCGCAATTTGCCGTCCATTCAGGCTGTCTCGAATACCTTCTGAATCCAGTTCCGGTGTTCTTTTGCCAAAATCTCTGGCGATACCCACGGAGGGACTTTTAAATGTGGGGGTACCACGATTCGTTCGTGGTGATGCTGTTTGTTGTGTCACGTCGCCTTAAGCAAATATATCCATTACTAATACTTTTCAATGTAGTATTGGAATTACTTAACTTGCGAACGTACTTGATGTTTAACAAAAAATACTCGCTATCATAGTACATAACAATATAAAATATTTTAATAGTACATTTTTTTTAAAACGAAAACGTACAATTTTTAAATTATGTTATTCTGTTTATTATTTCATCATCTACCTATTACTATTGACTATGGCCTAACTTATAAATAATTCTTATTATTTTACAAAAAATTATTGGTCTGTGGCCATGGAAGGAATTTGCACTTAACGGAATTAAATTTCAATAAAAGTTTTTAACCGTGGCTTAGACTGCTGATTCACTGAACAAACAGTTTGTCAAACAGAATTACATCGAAATTTTCTTATAATACAGATGATTTTTATTACTTTAGATCTTTACCTGCTCCAGTAAAATATTAAATTCATAAGCCATTAACTCGGATTGAGACGGATATGAAATTAAGGTTTCTAAGCGCGTCAAATACATTTAAGTTTTCAAGTCCTGAACTTATTAACCTCAATTTTTTTATAAAAATAAATTTATTAATTTAAAGTTTTAAGTTTGTAAATGATAAATGAGAAAAAACTGTGATTTTAAATCAATCGATGGTAATTTTTGTGTTATGTACATCTTAGTTCATACTAAAATTTGTTCTGTAGCGACTTCAATCTTCGGCTACAAATCATTACAATGAGTACCCTGAAACAGGCTACCAAAGCTCTTGACACTAGCCGCTGCAGCATTCTGGCCGGCCATTCACTGGTTATACTGCTAGAGAGTTCTCCTATTAGGTAAGAGGAAGAGCAGCACCTTTTGTCCTCCACAATTCCTACTGATACTAGTGAAAAAATCATGTACCGTTATATACATATCTGACCAAAGATAACGTAAAAGAACCTACGTTCCGAACGAGTTTGAGCGCGCTTCCCAAACCCTCTTGCCGTCATCATTTCTACGTTCTTGAACCCGCGCGTAGGACGTTGCTGTTTGCTTCTAACCAGTCTTCCATCTGGGGCACCATCCACCATACAGAGGAACACCGCAACCAGAACAGCTACTTGCATCTTTAGATTCATCGCTGTAACAGAAATATAAAAAAGGACCATTAATTTTACATTTGTTAATCTACTAACAATAAATTAAAAAATAGGATTGCAGATATATCTTATAGCCATAGGAAATAATGTATTTTAACATATTCTTCCCATTTTTCATAAGTATTATCTATACCTACCTACCTACCTATTCTATTGTGTATACTATGTTTTTTGTCGTCTTAGATTAGTAAAATTAAAAGGTCTACCGGATAGCGGGTAGTCCGACAGATTTCTACATATTAGCTATTTTCACATTTAATTTTCATACAAATCTCCAACTACATATGTTACCTATTATTTAAATTTACAGTATAATTTTTCATTATACATCAAAATATTTAAGCGATTTTCATTCTAAATATTACGTCAAAATTAATAACGAAATAAAAATGTATAATTTAAGAAATTGAAACTATAACTCAGTGTCAAATATAATGACTTGAGCTGTCAATTGTCTGCTATGTGACAAATCGTAAAGTACAGCCCGGCCCATAATTAAAAGTCGTATGAGGAAAGCAATTAACAAATTAATAGTAGGTGTGTTGCGCAAATTCTATTATTGTCTATGCATTATGAAGCCTTAATACGTCTGCTTGAAGTTAAATGTTATTATGTTTCTTGTGCTTTTAGTCTTGACCAATTCGTAAAAGGCCGGCAACGCACTCGCGAGCCCTTTGGCATTGAGAGTGTCCATTGGCGGCGGTATCACTTAACATCAGGTGAGCCATCTGCCCATTTGCCCCCTGTTCTATATAAAAAATTCTATGTATAAAAACTATATGTATCGAAATTTCTTTAGCTGCCAGTAGAGTTAATTTTGATTTACACCTACATGTTGTGTTCATACATACAAATATTATAATATTATTCCTTTGCCGCAAATCTTGAATTAAGAAAATCCCGGAATAAGGGAATGAAACAAAACACGAAACTATGACGGGTTTCGTTTGTTATTGCGGACGAATCGTGTCGCTTGTCTCTGATTGGACTAAAGATGCTGTTTGACCAAAAACAATCAAACGTTACAATGTTTGGTATGGGAACGATCCATAATTTCGATTTTCTAAAATATTCATCTAAATCACTTTAAAAGCAAAATATATTAATATGATATTATAAGTTAGAAAGATTTATAGAGATAATTTTAAATATGGAATAAAGCAATATTTTTAAATTACCTATATTCGTCGTTCTTATTAATAGCATTTCATATCGTAGCAACGCTGTATACACTTCTATAAGTCTGTTTTATCTGTGGCCATGACAGTAAGGCGTTGTCAGATGTTAACGGTACAATAAAACTAAGTGCATATACTAACATTACCTGACTATAAACCTACGCTTGTTATCTTGTCCGTTTAGTGGACAGTAAAACCAGAAAGTTTTTACAATGTTTGGCATAATCAAAACGGAACGACAGATGCACAGACTATCAAGAGAATTGGCATGACATTAGCGAAAATGGCGCGCGTTTCACAACGTCGTTATTATTTCTATTATGTATTGTGTTGTTATTATAAGTGTTATGGATGTAATATAATATAATAAAAAATAAAATTTAAAAGTAAATCCAAAACCGCATTAATGCGGTACGCGATGGACACATATACTGGGTGGCGCAAAAGTACTGGCACTAAAGAAAATTTGTTTATTTTTTTTATATGACATTTCCTGTCATTCTGTTGTTGAAAATTGTGTAGTGAACAAATGTTAAATACACTGTGGAGGGGCCTCATAGCCTAGCGGTCTTATTAAGTGGCAGCTAGATGAGGGGTACCGGGTTCGATTCCCGGTTCGAGGGCAAGTTTTAATTTAATTTAAATTTGTTCTTGGCCTTTGGGAGGGTTGTGCGGTACCGGGCAAGTGCTTAAACCGTACATGGAGGGCACGGTTGAATTTCTAAAAAAAGACAAGCACGAATTATAAAAAATCCTATACTTGACGCTGGCTAATGCACAAATCGTGCCAGAGCCCTTAAAAAAAAATAAAAAAAATACACTGAAAATAAACATGGACCGTTTTACTCCCCAAGAACGTGGAAGTGAAATATTTATGTGTCTCTATTTTCAAGACTTTATTATTTTGGCGCGAAGCGAACCAACTCCAAATTAAAGAACACACATGACATTTGGAAGGTGTCAAATATTCTTAATAAAAAATACAGTGGAGCTATTCTTGGTCTCGGCCTCATATTCGTAACATTTTTATAAATAGTCATCGATTCTGACACCGATTTCCTCACTATGTTTTTCTTTACCGTTTAAGCGAGTGTTTAGTTGGAAACAAGTTCACTGGTGCTCAGCCGTGATTCGAACGCACGACCTTATAGTAGACGCTTGAGCACCAGGCAGTTCAGTATAATTGGATCTTAATACCTTTGCAGTATGATTAACCGTAACATTTCAATTGTCATATTAATTCTTATAATAAGTAACATTACGATTATTTACATTTAAGTGCGAAGTTATAAGAAAAAAATAATTTATTAGGTGACTGGTTTTCAAGATAATCAAGTAAAGTTGTGGACGGAAACTAGTTTCGTTATTAAAGTCCGTTTTCTTGCCTAAGTGAAAAGTTCAATAACGAAGGAGCGGCTAACGTCGTTATATCGTTAAAGTTACGTTAACTTATCCTAATAATATTAGTTATATTGTTACTAGATTAATAAATATAGATTAGATTATCATGAAAATAAATAAGTTTTAATCGACGAATTTTTAGGGGTTTTTACAAATTACGTAATGAAAACCCAATAAAAATGACTTTTTGTTAAATGACCAATTAAGGTGGATCAGGTGCAGAAGGCAAATCTCCTGTCTATCAAATAAACAGATGCTATAAGAGACCCATGTAGGGTAGTGCTACTTGATTGTACCTGGCGACATGTATTTTTACTATACTAAAACTTTTTCTATCAACGCAGATCGCACCTGAGGGAAATCTAAACTAATCTTGCATGACGTCCGGCCTATCTCGTTAGACTTAATTGCTTTAACTGATTTACTTAAATGTCAATTTAAACACAGTAGAATCAAATATTGACTTTTTAAGATCTTTATAAAAATGAATCGCAAAATTTGCTAAGCACATAACTTGAAGACGACTGGGACCAATTCGATATTGTTTTTTTAATTTATTCCTTGACCTTTGAGGAAGGTTTTTATGTGTGTAATCCTAAAAACGAACAATCTGTATGGGGGTAGGATAGCGAAATGTTGGTATGAAGCTACTTAAAAGGTAGGTAGGAAGTAAAACCATTAATTAAGGCGAAATGAGGGTAGTTCACGGTTAGTAATAAAACGTCATTTAATAATAGTACCTTAATTACGTTAGCTATTTAGGTTGACAAAAGACGGAACAATTTAGTGTAAATTAAGTGCATTTAAATTACGAGTAACAGACCAGTCCCAAAAATATATTTAAAGGCCATATTCATTCACTAAATAGAAAATAAGGAAAATATTAAAATCAAAGCACTTTGCAAATTGCACCCAGGCCCTCCGGATTAATTCTCGAAGCGATTATCAATTAGATTATATTATTACAATGGCACTAGAATTAAACGAATCAGTTAAACTGTCTGGAAACTTCGAGAAATAAATTTATTTTAACACTAATCTTATTCATAACATTAAAATTAATCTGTGACGTAAACAAGGTACATTTATTAAATAGTTGTTTGTGGATTCTAAAATCGGTGTTTTAAACCGTAATGCTTTTGTACAATACAATTTATATTATTAGAATGGCGAAAAGACGTCGGAGGATACAAACACCGGGAAAAATCTAAATCATTCTCATAAAATAATTTAAAAGCATTGTCCTGTCTCGTGTCATCTCAGCGCAAACTAAATGATGGAACAGAACAACTATTTGTAAAAAAAATATCTTCAAAAAATTAAATCTTTTTGTTTTTGGTATTTATCGACTATTTCAATGCAAGTGTAACCGCTGGGAAAATTTAATAAGAATTTTATTAATTTATTTCACTTATCTAATTCTGTTTGTTACCAATTATGGCATCAAACGAAAATTTGATTTATAAATGAAATCACAAGGTAATAAAAATGAAATTTCAATTTAAAAAACTTTCGTACTTCCTTTTTATTACAAACAAAGATATTCTTCAAAGTTATAAAGAATCCGAGTTGAACTTTCAGGTCAAGATTTGTTTTAAACTTTATAACATCCTATTCGCTTTACCAAGTAAACAATAGACTTTATTGTAAATCGATAGATAATATTTTGCTCGTACTTTTACGTAGATAAAATAAAAAAAACTACTTTGACTTAGTGTGGGTTGTTTCAAACCTTGCTATCGTAACTTCGTTCGTTAAAATTTGACAGACAGTATGACTTTACGTCTGTTAACTTTTGCGTTGCTTCATTGTTAAAATGAGTTCGTCTTGTTTGGGGTTGCCTGTTTGCGTCGCTATTTTGACCTATGTTTTTGGGAATATTTTTGTAATAACAACATTGATAAAAACATGTCTTTGTACTTCTGTCGTTTGACTCGATGTTTTTGTTGTGTACGAAAGGATAATTTTAAAAAGTGTTTAATTTTAATATAAATTGGGAACCTTTTCGCCAAAGTAAGTTGCTATTTTTTTTATTATTTGCATGATTGTATTGCGCAAGTATTATATTATTTGAAAGATTAGTTAGAAGTGTTTTATTTCGTTACTCATTGACTTTCAGAGAACGTTCTGTAAATTTTGGAAAAGAAGAGGACAGATTTAGAAATTTAATAGAAAAACATAACACATCTTATTTAATAAAAAGACAGACTTTCTAACAATTTGCAAAAAAAGGGGCATGGAGTGCGTTCATGCAGATTTAATGCCCTTTCAGATAATAAATTGAAAAAGAATTTTTGAGTTGCGTGTTCAACATCTAATGAGAAGAGGAAGAACGATGAAATCATTTTTAAACTACAAGAAAAAATTCTTCTATTAATTATACTAAAAGGATGTAAGTTG